TGTAACTTATGTTTTTAGCTTTTCAAGGCTGCATTAGATGGCGAATTTGGTCAAGACAAACTGGAAATCTAAATTTTTGCTGTTAAAAAGAACTCCGATTTTTTGGGCTAATTAATTCCAAACACTGCTCTGTTGACGTCTCCTTTGAAAATGAAATTATTTATAATAGGTGTTGGTCTGGTCCTCCTCCTCTGGTGATTTCTGCACTCTCTCCTAATGTGGCCCTTTTGGCCGTAGTTGTAACATCGCTCTGAAATCTGACTTTTGGTATTAAAAAGAACTCCAATTTTTTGAGCTAATTGTTGCCAAATGCCACTCTATAGACCTGTCCTTTGAAAATGAAATTATTAATAACGGGTTTTGGTCTGCTCCTCCTCCTCTGGTGATTTCTGCAGTCTCTCCTAATGTGGCACTTTTCTAACATTGTTCTGAAAAGAACAGGAACATTTAAATCTTGAAGTTTTTTGAGCTACAGCAAAGAGAGTACTTAGTTGTGCTTACTGTTCACATTTCTTTCTTCTCTAGGAGATCTGCATCTCCTTGGACCACGTTGTTGAACGGCGCTTCTGTCCAGTGGGTTTTCTGTTCTATTTTGTGCAGGTAATGGAGATGGAGGAGGAGCAGGAGGATCAGCACCACCAGGACTTTGCGGGAGGGGTCGGAGGCACTATAGGCTCTGGAGCATCTAAGGTTTGATGTAGCTCCTCCTGCACCTCCTTGAAGATGTCCATGTTGAAATCTGCTTGAAAGCAGAAGTTTTCCTTAACCACTCTTGATTGGAAAAAGCAGCTTTTGGAACTTACCATTGTCAGCTGCAGCCATGATTCTAGGAAAAGAGAAGTGATTTTATCTCTGTTTGTACCTATCAACCTTTTATTCCGGAGAGCGAACGTCTGCCATAGCTTACTACTGCTATTTTATAATTCTAGTCTGTCAAGTTGTCAATTTCATTCGTTCTAGTTGTCAGTGTCATTGGAGTCATTTTGTTGGTGATCAGACTGTTTTGGTACAGTGATACTTGACTGTCCTGACTTCGGGATATTGTGAGTTATAATGAGTTCATTTTCTGACTCAGATAACTATCCAGCGTGGCTGTTTTTTTGCACCATTGTTTTTCTTTTGCTCTTTGGTTAGCAGAGCGCCATTGTTGCTGGTCTGTTTTTTCTTTTTTTCGATAACACTTGCGAACCTTTCATTATCTTCTTGACCTGTATCTGAAGACTCTGCCATTGTTGAATGCTTAACTTATTCATCAGTTTCCCTTTGTGGTAGTTTTTTTGGGGTTGTTTTCTCCTTCGGTGGACTTTTCTTTTGGCCAGCAGTCTTTGGTACTTTCGATTTTGCGGAACTCGGCGGTTTTCAAATTTGTTCCTTTGTGTTCTGACTTCAGAATGATCCTGCTGACAACGATGTCTTCCGCAGCGCCTTTTTGCTCTTTGTTGGTGGTAATGGTTTCTTTGGTGTACAGTCATCTGTCGCCGAAGATTGTTCATCATCTTCTTCTGAGCCACTGTCAAAGTATCTAGAGAGTTGTTTTCTGGTTGTGACAGCTCCAGTTCTATGTCTCATGAGTCTTCCTTCATATTCGTGGCACTCTGTACGTTCTGACGAGTTTGGAGGAATATTTATTATTTATTATTTATAATCACTGCGCAAGGGATTTAAATCTCTATTTATAGATGTGCACTCTCCAATGTTAAGAATGACTTCGATGTTTTGCTCAATTGTAA